ACAGCCAACATCATCCTAACTGGAGAGACTTTGAAAGCATTCCCCTTGAGAATGGGAACCAGACAAGAATGCCTTTTATCACCTCTCTTATTCAACATAGTGCTGGAGGTCCTAGCCAGAGCAATTAGGCTAGAAAAAGAAATAAACTGCATCCAGGTTTGCAGGGAAGTAGTCAAAATATATCTATTTGCAGATGATATGATCTTATACACAGAAAACCCCAAAGAATCCACAAGAAAACTACTGAAACTAATGGAAGATTTCAGCAAAGTTTTGGATACAAGATAAATATACAAAAATCAGCTGGATTCCTTTACACCAACAAAGAGAACCTCAAAGAAGAAATCACAAAATCTATGCCATTTACAATAGCCCCCAAGAACATAAAATACTTAGGAATAAATCTAATCAGAGACGTAAAAAACTTATACAATGAAAATTACAAGACACTACTGCAAGAAACCTAAAGCGATCTGCAGAAGTGGAAAAACATACTGTGCTCATGAATAGGTAGACTTAACATTGTGAAAATACAAGTTCTACCCAAAGCGACCTACAGATTCAATGCAATCCAGATCCAAATTCCACCAGAATTTTTTAATGAGATGGAGAAACAAATCACCAACTTCATATGGAAAGGGAAGAGGCCTCGAATAAGTAAAGCATTACACAAGAAGAAGAACAAAGTGGAAGGCCTCACACTACCAGATTTTAGAACTCATTATACTGCCACAGTAGTCAAAACAGCCTGGTACTGGTACAACAACAGATACATAGATCAATGGAACAGAATTGAGAATCCAGACATAAATTCATCCACCTACGAGCAGGCGATATTTGACAAAGGCCCAAAGTCCATTAATTCTGGAAAAGACAGTCTCTTTAATAAATTGTGCTGGCATAACTGTATATCCATCTTCAAAATTCTGAAACAAGACCCATACCTCACACCATGCACAAAAAGTAAGTCAAAATGGATCAAAGTCTTAAATATAAAATTGAAAACAATAAAGATCATGGAAGAAAAAATAAGTACAACACTAGGAGCCCTAATACGTGGCATAAACACAATATGAACCACAAGTAACAATGCACAAGCACAAGAAGAGAGACTAGATAATTGGAAGCTCCTAATAATCAAACACTTATGCCCATCAAAAGACTTCACCAAAAGAGTAAGACAACCTACAGACTGGGAAAAAAATTTTTGGCTATGACAAATCCTATCAGTGTCCATACTGCAAATCCTCAACAACAAAAAGACAACCCAAATAAAAAATGGGTAAAAGATATGAACAGGCACTTCACCAAAGAAGATATTCAGGCGGCTAACAGACACATGAAGAAATGCTCATGATCATTAGCCATTAGAGAAATGCAGATCAAAACTACAATGTGATATCATCTCACCCCAACAAGGCTAGCATTAATCCAAAAAACACAAAATAATAAATGCTGGAGAGGTTGTGGAGAGCCTGGAACACTTATACACTGTTGGTGGGAATCCACAATGTACAACCACTTTGGAAATCGATTTGGCACTTCCTTAAAAAGCTAGAAATACAAGTACCATATGATCCAGCTATCCTGGTCCTTGGAATATATCCTAGAGAAATAAGAGTCATCACATGAATAGATATACACACACCCATGTTCATCTCAGCACTGTTCACAATAGCAAAAAGATGGAAACAACCTAGGTGCCCATCAATGGACGAATGGATAAGCAAATTATGGTATATTCACACAATGGAATACTACACAATGCTAAAGAACAACGATGAAGCCATGAAACATAACATGGAGGAAGCTGGAGGTCATTATGCTAAGTGAATTTAGTCAGTCACAGAAGGCCAAATATTGTATAAGAGCACTATTATAAGAACTCAAGAAAAGGTTTGAACACAGAAGAAAACATTCTTTGATGGTTACAAGGGTGGGGAGGGAGGTCGAGGGTTATTTACTAACTAGGTAGTAGATAGGAATTATCTTAGGTGAAATGAGGGACAGCACTCACTAAGGAGGAGGTCAGCACAGCTGGACTAAACCAAAGCTAAGAAGGTTCCTGAATATAATCAAACACTTTGAGGGATTGAGTAGGAGGGATAGGGATCTGGGGACCATGCTTTCAGGGGACATCTAGGTCAATTGGCATAACAAAGCTTATTAAGAAAACATTCCGAATCCTACTTTGGTGAGTGGCGTCTGGGTCTTCAAAGCTTGCAAGCGGCCATCTAAGATGCATCAATTGGCCCCAACCACCTGGAGGAAAGGAGAATGAAGAATTCAAAGACACGTGGAAAGTAGTAGCCCAAGAGACAGAAAGGGCCACATAAACCAGAGACTTCATCAGCCTGAGACCAGAAGAACTAGGTGGTGCCCAGCTACCACTAATGTCGGCCCTAACCAGGAACACAACAGAGAGTCCCGGATGGACTGGGAGAGAGGTGGGGTGAAGAACTCAAATTCTAGTAAGAAGATGAGACTTGATTTTCTGACTGATACTGGAGGTACCCTGGAAATCTTGGCCCCTGGATTCTGTATCAGCCCAGAACTAAAACAATTTCCGAGGCCAACTCTTTAGACAGGGATTGGTCTGGACTGTGGGACATAAAGTGATACTCGTGAGGAGTCTGCCTCTTAGCTCAAGTAGATACAAGAGACTAAAGGGAAGCTTCTGTCCGGAGGTGAGATGGGAGAGCGAAGAGGGTTAGGAGCTGGTTGTATGGACATGGGGAATCGGGGAGTTGAAGGGACGAGTGTGGTGTCACGGTGTGGGGAGAGCAATTAGGATCACATAACAATGTGTGTATAAATTTTTGTATGGAGAAAAATAGAAAGAAAAAACACTGACTCAACAGTAACAGGTTTTTTATATTTCATTTTGGTACTATATAAATGAAATGAAAGATGTTTAAAAGTGGCAGGCATTTCAGCAAAGTGTTATAGGAAAAGAAAACAGGAAGGGTCAAAATATTCTATCAAAAGATAGAAAAACATGGTATTTTTATTTTTAACTAAATATATGTATCTGCGTCATTTATCCTATGGTGTTTGAGATTAGATTTAAAAGACTAACATCTGTAAGAATATATAGTTTTTTGTATATTGAGATAAAAAAATTCATAATGATGTAAATATCTAATAAAAGATTTTGAAAGTACTAAAATGAATTTCTGTATTGAAAGACAAATATTTTTAAATATTGTTATACTTCACAAACATATTGTTTAATTTTTCCTACCCTTAGATACTACTAATTGCCACTGCTAAATAATACTGTACTTTATTTGTTTAAATAATGGATCATATAAAAGATCATTAAACAATACCAAAGAATATAAAAGTGAACCTACCAATACAGAAGCTTGACCTCTCTGCACCCTAGAGAGAAATCACTGGTGTTATTGAGCCTTAATCATACACAGCGTGGGCATCTGCCTGTGGACAGACTGGTGGAAATATTACCTTCAGAGGTACCTTGAGATTCAGAGAAAAAGGGCAGGTCTATAATTCCTGGTGAAAACCTACTTCGTGGTTTTACTGCTGTATCATAAGGCCTGTCATTTAGGTAACTGATGGATGTTCACTCGAAGATGTGGGGTGCAACCTCCAACCCTGCTGCATACAGACAACATTTAAAGCACATAGGCCCTAAAGACCAGGTAGCCAGACATGGAATATAATCAAGAAAGCAATCGTGCAGATGGGAGCAAGTGGGACATCTAGAGATACTGTAGCTGCTAAGTGAGTGGGGGTTGCTTGCCTTTGATTCTACCTAAGGGTGTGGAGTGTGCTGGTCTGGATAAGAAAGTGAGTGCTGGCCCTGCACAAGAGGGAGATGTGTCTAGATGTGTGTATCCCAGCCAGTCTGACACATGTCCCACGTTCTGCTCTGAGGGCACAGCTTCGCTTCCGTGAGACACCTCTGAGAGGATGAGGGATTATTAATAGAGGTAGAGCACAGCTGAAACAGCAGCACTGGGGAGAGGCTATGCTGATTCATGGACAGAGGGAGATGAGGATGGAGCCTCATGGGGATATGGTCCTGGTGGAGACCATGCCAGACTCCTATTGTGTCAGTTGGAGGCTCAGTTGCTTTTCTCCCCCTCCTCTGTGGTGGTGGGCTGCGGTGGAGTTAGGAAGGAGTGAAGGCCATCATTGAGAGCCTCATGCTGCAAGTTGTATTGTTATTCAGAGGGAGACACTCCACCACCTTTTGGATCAGACACGGGGACATGACCCTAAGCATGCTGATAGGATGGGACATTGCACACGTGTGAGTAGTTGGCATATGTGGGGAGTTTGTGAATTGTTGAGCAAGAGGAGCAGAGAAGAGAGTCGATCAGGTGCAGTCAGTGCCTGTGTGGGTCACAGAAGAGGACCAATGAATATATTCAAGGAAGACACAGAAGGCAACCCCTCCACTCTTGGAGAAGGCCTTTATTAAGAGTCTGACACCATCTCACATACACCCTGTCACAAAATCCAAGGTCCAGTCACTTAGCTACACTAGGGTGCATTCATTACTCTGTGGATCCGTAGAACAAAGATGGATATTCTTGTGAAGACCTTAGGATGATCTTTCTGGCATCTATAGCTGACAATGCCCTGGGCCACGTTATCATACTCCACCCCCCTGGGTCACCCTGTAGACAGAAAAGGGAAGAGTCTCAGCATAAACCTTTCTGGCTTCTCCCCTCTGGCTATTTTTCCTTCCTGGTTCCCATATCCTATTGCTTAGGGTCTTGGTGTTCAGAACAAGAAGGTGCTGAAGGATCATCATTCACTTTTGCTTTGAGTAAAAGGGCTATCAGAGTCCATGACTCTGGAATCCCCAGCACTGTGAGTCTCTGCCCTGGCTGAGTCCTCTCTCCAGCTCAACCAAGTGCCCAGCTTTTCTTTTATTCCGCCATGGAGAAAGGACAAGAGATGAGCTGGAGAGAATTACCAGGTGTGATAGGTTGAGAACAGGATGCCCACATCCACGGTGGACCATACTATACCATGGTTTCACGGCCGTCATCATAGTGTATGAAGAATTGCTTGCACTTCTTCTTGTCCTGTACTTCCAGTTCTACTTCCTGGAGTGTGGCTGAAAACTTACCATTTTCTGTTCTCCAGCCTGCCACACGGCACACCCGCTCTGGCCACACCCAGTCCTGGCTCCTAGGTAGGGAAATGGTCTTCACAGCTGTGTTCAATCGTACCTTGTTTTTCAGCTGGTCAGAGAAGTGTAGAGATGTTAGTTCAGATCTTGCCTTGCCAGTGCGTCTCACAGCAGAGAGGAAGCTGTCCATGTCTCCCTGCACAGAGAATCTCAAAAGTTCCAATTTATTGCCTTTGGATTAGTAGAGCATTAAGGCTGAAGGATAGGAGGGTCTTGAGGTTCTGAATGAGCCAGTGCCCTAGATGTGAATCAACCAGATAGTACCTTCAGTAGCATGATGTCATTGACAAGTGTATCACTTTTATACATTGGATGAGGAAAGGATTGAATCACATGGATGACCTGCCTAGTGGTTTCGTTTCTTGTGGCATTGTGAGCTCCCAGGATGACAAAGATCATTCTGCAAAGAAAGGCTAGATATAGTAAGTCACAGGAATTTCAACTCAGTGTCAGATAAAGATACTGATGTTCCAATCAAAGGCAGGCCTGCAGCCAAGTCAAATTGGGAGGAGGAGATGGAGCAAAAGTCATGTCTCATTTCTCCCCTCCAACAACTCAGTCAAATGTGGACGGTGTTACCTTCTTTTTTTCTGCAGCTGTGATACAGGAATTGTACTTAAGCAGTTACACCTGCCGCCCTGGTCGCAATCCACACATTCTAATCCACTATCCCACACTCAATTCCCTCCGGACTGGAGATGCACATCTGGCTACTCTGATGAGCTCATTGGTCCCTGTGCACTGAAGGATCATCATGAGCTATATTTGTGGGATGCTCTTGCAGGTTCCCAGGGAAAAGGAATCCAGGGCCTTCTCACCTTTTTAGACAGTGAGCCACTGTCAGTACAAAGTCTTCTCGCACCAGAAAACCCCCACAGAGTTCCCATTTATTGTTGACACCAGAGGTCTTTATTGCTGTCATGTAGGGCCGGGAGTGTGGTCTGGCCTCTATGCCCTCTGTGATCACTGCATAAAGATAAAATCTTCCATGGTTTACTGTGCTCACAGAACCAGAGGATGGGTGTATTCTATGGCCTAGATGACTGGGATGTTTGAGGTTGTGATGTTCTGTGGTGTTTAACTTGAGTTAGAAGAGAGCAGTCTGTAGTCTAACACTGAGATGGGCTCCAGAGTTCTATAGGCAGTGTGTCTGGCTTGTATCATGGCCCATTTCTTCCCTAGTTACCGCTTTCTTCCTCTGGAGATAAAGGAGCTCGTACTCGTTTTGGGTTAAATATACTTCAGACACATGTTGATGGAAATTATCTACCTTCAGAATTTACAATCCAGAAGACCTAAAAAATACTCTCTGATCTGCTCTGGATGTTTCTTTGCTTCTCAAAATCTCAGACCACTGGTGTCCTGATTGCTTCCATCATGGGCTAGTTTCTCAGACCTGAACATGATGAGCTATTGTACCAGAACACTGTGAATCTTTTTTCCTAATCTTGAGTCTGATACATAGTAAAATACCCATAAATGTTCATTGAGTGAATGAATGAATAGAATCCAGATTATCTTTGGCCTGAGGTTGCAAAGAGAGACCCAACACTAGCCAAGAATTAGCTTCCTATTAAAATGAGCCATCTTGATAAATGGGAATGAGGACAAAATCTGGAAATCAAAGTGGAGATGAGGAAAAGGGCTGCAGTTACCTGGGTGATAGCCGCGTCTCCACTAGGACCTTAGAAGCAATGAACTTGCCAACAGCCCAATGGCTCAGTTAAGTTCTGACTATTTGCCTTTGTATGTTCTGCGGGGCTCAGCAGAATATGGACAAAATGAAGATGAAGTCTAGAAAATGGAATATAAAACAATTCTTTGCTTCTTAATTTGTATGATGACACCTGACGTTGAATTGTTAATTCTTAACTTTATTATAAAGGGAATTTATAGTATTCATTTTTAACTTTACCACCTCCACCAGAATCTTTGGTCTTCCTAATAATAAATCACTTTTCTTTGGAAGGTAAATTATCCAGCGAGTTTCTTGGGAGCTCTTTTTTTTCTTTTTTTCCCTGTCATTTCTGTACTTTGTTTATGCAGCCATAGAGTTCAGCAAATTCTGGAGAACAACTGATCCAAGATGCATCAGAGATAGGCTGACTGGAGGTATGTGGAAAAGTCACTGATGAAGTAAGCCAGGTCCCTGAGGTGGAGACAGTCGCTTACCTACGAAGGTCTTGGAGGGCAGAGGCAAGCTCAACAGGATCAGGAGTGGCAGCATCTTCTCAGAAACGTTGCTCAGGTTAGAAATTGTGGTTTCTTTTTCGAGGCTTTATAACCCAAGAGGTAGGGAAAGAGGGGCAAGTTCAATAACCACATGTTTCCTTCTAGGTTGTACTGATTCTTATGATAGGAAGTCAGCACGTCCCTCCTCCCTCCTAGAGGAATGTGTATGGTGAAGGTGTTACAAGAAACACATTGTGAAGCAGTTTCTGACTCTGCATGAAAACATTTCTCTGGAAAAAATTCTAAACTTTGAGAAAGGAGCATGCGAGCTTTTAGAGGTTTTGCTTTCAGTTAGAAATGATGTTACCTCTACTAAGTTCTCTTTTGGGTTTTCAGAAAATGTACATTATTCCATATTATCTGGCATTTGTGATTAGCTACTGTCTACTTTTACATAACAGCTCTCAACCCAATGCTTTCCCTCTTAGTGTTTCACTATCTGAGAGCACAAGAGCTTAATTTTTATAAGCGCAAAAGTAGTAAGCCCTGGTCTCACCATAAAAAAATAAAATAAAAACAAAAACTTGAAAAGATCTTAGTCATCTATTTCCTTGTTTGTAGTTTCAAACAACTGCAGAATCTTGGGAATGGACATGAGATTAGAGATTGGGATGAAGCGGAGAAGGGCCATTGATTAGAATACCAAGGTAAAGAGATGACAGAATAAGAGAGTTGGAGATAAGAGATTTGACAAACTAACATGTATTATTTTTTTTGGGCCCAGGCCATAATAATAATGTAATAGTGTCCACAATTCTTGATATGTTCAAGGTAAAAAAAAAAAAAAATCCCAGTTCATGGAATTTGTTAGTGTACTAAAGAAGGGACACAGTTGGCAAATACCACCTTAAAGACTACCTGCATGCTAAGGATCAGCATGAATACAGTTCTCAGAGAATGGAAACGGATTCAGTCCTAAATTTCCCATTTTTACATCTTAGCCGACAGCCACTCACAGTGCACTCTCTCTTTCAGTCCCAGCCACCCAAAGCAGTGTCAGAGATCATAAATTAGAAGCACACTGACTTTCCACACTACCATACAGAGCTATGTCAGAGGTCACATGTTAGAAGGAAACCTTCTTTCAGAATACCAGTTAGGCAGACACCAGCCCCTCCTGGCTCTCACTGCCCCTGTGGGTTTGTTAATTCACTGGAATAAATCACAGAATTCATGGAGAGTGCACCATACTTACTACAGATGAATTACAACTAAAAAGGATAGGAGTAAGACATACAAAGAGAGACACAGGGTGAGGATGGTAGGTGTCACAGCATAGAGCTTCCATGTCCCAAGAGAGATGGTGCTACCTTCTCTGTGCATGATCTACAACCAGGAATCTCCATCTGAGCCTTAGGGATCAAGGCTTTTATTGGTCTCTACACATGGCCATGATAGATTACATCATGATTCATGAGGCTAGTCAGCATTAGGTCCCCAAGCCCCCAAATGGTACCACTTTGTCTAGTCAGCCCCCACTCATTAGCCTCAAGTGTTGCTTTGTTTTTGTTGTTAGGTGTCCTTGAGTCAGTACTGACTCATATAGACTGTACATACAACAGAACGAAACACTGCCCGGTCCTCATGATTGTTATGCTTTGCCCATTTTGCATCACTGTCAATCCATCTTGTTGAAGGTCTTCCTCTTTTTTGCTGACCCTCCACTTTACCAAGGATGATGACCTTCTCCAGGGACTAGTCCCTCCTGATAACATGTCCAAAGTACGGTGATAGAAATGACACTAGAAATTACATGATTGACTATTGCAAGACTGATGACTTATTCATTGCAAATACCATTTTTCAACAACACAAACGGCGACTATACATGTAGACATCACCAGATGGAATACACAGAAATCAAATTAACTACATCTGTGGAAAGAGACAATAGAAAAGTTCAATATCATCAGTCAGAACTAAGCCAGGAGCTGACTTCAGAATAGACCATCAATTGCTCGTATAAAAGTTTAAGGTGAAGCTGGTGAAAATTAAAACAAGTCCACGAGAATGAAAATACGAACTTGAGTGTATCCTACCTGAATTTGGAGAACAACTCAAGAATAGGTTTAATGCATTGAACACTAATGACTGAAGATGAAACGAATTGTGGGGTGACATCAAGGACATCATATATGAAGAAAGAGACAGGTTATTAAAAAGACAGGAAAGAAAGAAAAGACCAAAATGCATGTCAGAAGAAAATCTGAAACTTGCTCTTGAACATAGAACCTAAAGCAAGTGGCAGAAGTGATGAAGTAAAAAGAACGGAAGAGAAGATATCAAAGGGTGGCTCAAGAAGACAAAGTATTATAAAAAAAATTCTATAATGAAATGTGCAAAGACCTGAAGTTAGGAAACCAAAAGGGAAGAACACATTCGGCATTTATCAAGCTGAAAGAGTTGAAGAGAAAATTCAAACCTTGAGTTGTGATATTGAAGGATTCTATGGGCAAAATATTGAACAATGCAGGAACATCAAAAAAAGATGGAAGAAATACACAGAGTCACTGTACAGAAAACAATTGATCAATGTTCAACCAATTCTAGAGTTAGCATATGATTAAGAACCGATGGTATTGAAGAAAGTAGTCCAAGACGCACTGAAGGCATCTGTGAAAAACAAGACTCCAGGAACTGACAGAATACCAATTTAGATGTTTCAACAAAGGGATGCAGTGCTGGAGGTGCTCACTCATCTATGCCAAGAAATTTAGAAGACCGCTACATGGCCAACAGACTGGAGGACATCCATACTTCTACCAATTCCAAAGAAAGGTGATCAAAAGAATGCAGATATTATTGAAAAATATCATTAATATTACACAGAAGTAAAATTTTGCTGAAGATCCTTAAAGATGGTTTCAGCAGTACATCGACAGAAACCGCCATAAATTCAAGCCAGATTTAGAAGAGGATGTGGAATAAGGGATATCATTGCTGATGTCAGATGGATCTTGGCTGAAAGCAGAGAATACCAGAAAGATGTTTACCTATGTTTTATTGACTATGTAAAGGCCTTCAACTGTGTGAATCTTACATTATGTACAACACTGCAAATAATGGGAATTCCAGAACACTTAATTGTGCTCATGAGGAACATATACATAGATTAACAAGCAGTCATTCAAACAGAACTAGAGGATATTGTGTGGTTTAAAATCAGGAAAGGTATGCATCACGGTTGTATTCTTTCACCACACTTACTCACTCTGTATGCTGAGCAGAAGTTCTGAGAAGCTGGACTATGGATTGGTGGTATCTGGATTGGTGGGAGACTCATTAACAAGATGCAATATATAGATGATACAACCCTGCTTGCTGAAAACGAAGAAGACTTGAAGCACTTACTGATGAAGATCAAAGATGATAGCCTTCAGTATGGATTACATTTCAATATTTTTTTAAAAATCCTCACAACTGGACCAATAAGAAACATCATGAAAAACAGAGAAAATATAGAAGTTGTTGAGGATTTCAATTTACTCGGATCCACAGTCGACGCCCATGGAAGCAGCAGTCAAGAAACCAAAGGACCTTTACATTGGGTAAAATGTGCTTCAAAAGACTGTTTTGACGTGTTGAAAAGCAAAGATGTCACTTTCAGCACTATGGTGCCCCTGACCAAAGCCGTGATATTTTCAATCCCATCATATGCATGTGAAGGCTGGACAATGAATAAAAGAGACTGAGGAAGATTTGATACCTTTGAATTATGGTGTTGGCAAAGAATATTGAATATACCATGGACTGCTACAAAAATGAACAAATCTGTCTCGGAAGTACAGCCAGAGTGCTCCTTGGAAGCAAGAATGGTAAGACTTCGTCTCATTTACGTTGGATATGTTATCAGTAGGTACCAGTCCCTGGAGAAGGACATTATATGTAGTAAGGTAGAGGGTCAGCAAAAAATAAGAAGATCTTCAATGAGATAGAGTGACACAGAGGCTGCTGCAATGGAGTCAAACATAACAACAATTGTCAGGATGACGTAGGATCAGACAGTGTTTTGTTCTCTTGTGAATAGGGTTACTATGAGTCAGAATCTATCAACAGCACCTAAGAACAACAAAAAGACATTCCAGCCTTGGGGTCTGAAGAGCATTTCTACAGAAGATGGTTCTGGGAGGTGAATGGATTCCCAATTTCTTTTAGGAACATCAATGAACAACTGGAGGTCTTTTCTTTGAAGGACAATCAAGTTGCACTGAAAGGTAGGTCTGCATAACGCTGTTGTTTCTTTGAGTTGATTCTAACCCATAGTGAACTTATGTAACAAAGTAGAACTGCCTCATAGGGATTCCTAGGAAGTAATCTTTAATGGACTAGATTGCCAGGTCTATAGAGCTGCCTGAGAGTTCCATCCACAGATCTTTCGATTAGTGTGTGAATGCTTAACCATATCACCACCAGAGCTTTTTGATATTCATAATAACCAAAAATGGTTGTGTTGATTGTATTGACTCTCAGAATAAGACCTCATCATGTCCCCTTCTATCCTTGAGGAATGTGAATGGTGATGGCATTACAAGAACTACATTCTTAGGCAATTTCTGAATCCACATGACCACATTTACCTGCAGAAAACCCTGAACTCTCAGCAGAAACGAAGTGGCTTTTAGAGACTTTTCTTTCAGTCAGAAAGGGTTTTACTAAGATCTGTTTTGGTTTTTGAAAGAGAACGAACATAGTGCCATATTGCTGTGTATTTGTTCTTTACATAATGTCTCTCACTCTAATCCTTCCCCTCTTACTGCACCACTATTTGAGAGCACAAGAGCTTAATTTTTATAAATGTAAAAGTATCAAGTAGTGGTCTCACCATAAAAAAAAAAGCTTGTCAAGATTTTAGTTATCTATCAACTTCTTGATAGCTTCAAACACATGTATCTTGGGAATGGGCATAAAATCAGAGATTGAGATGAAGTGGAGATGGAATATTGATGAGAATACTAGGAAGGTAAAGAGATGACAGAATATGAGAGTTGGAGAGAA